TTCCTCTATGAGGAAGCAATATCCTAACATGATACTAATACAATGATGAGTATACGAAGCAAATAACATTTACTTTCATTTATAACTAGACTTTCCTTGTATTAATAATAATTAATTTTTTCACATAAATCAACGAAGCTTAATTATTGAAGAAAAAAGTGTACATATTGGCCAAGAGTGGAATTTTTATTACGTATTTACGCTCCTTTTTCTTCCTCTTTATTTCTTTTTTATTGTATGTACTTATACATATAATTAATTCCAGTCATACCAAATTTTTTGTATATATATCACTATATTACATTATTTCACGTATTCTATATAATTTTTATTTCATATGAGACAGTGAGTATACGACGAGTGGCACGATACGCTCCTAGCCAGTTCTCACATGCAAGCGAGCAGCCGTGTACGTGTGGTCTCGATGAAAAAAGAGAGAGCAGATACGTCTGAGCTCTTCTACCCGGCCGAAGTTGGCCGACACGCCGGGTGCACACGGACCCGGCTGCTCGCTTGTGTGCGTTATCCCCTCTCCGACCACATCGTGCTGCAAAAGAATCGGAATTTGCATCACTGCCTGAAGGGTGAGTCGGAGCTACTAATCCGGAACTTGACGACCACGGGTGAAAATTACGAACACGCGTGGAAAACGATGAGCGACTACTATGAGAATAAGCGCTTGTTGGTGCGCGCTTATTTGGCCAGCTTCGTCTCATTGCCGAAGATGAAGAGCGAGTCGGCAGCGGAGCTGCGAAAGGTGTTCCACTGCCTGAAAGCGACGCGCAATTCCTTGGACAGCATCGGTCGACCAGTTTCCAACAGCGAGGACCTCTTCGTTTACCTGGCCGTCGATCTGCTCGACCCCCGCTTGCGACGAGACTGGGAGACCTCCATCTGCGAGACCACGGAGCCTCCGTCGATTACCGAGCTGGAGACGTTCCTGGATCGGAGACTTCACGCCCTGGAGTCGATGCTCCCGGCTAAAGCGGATAGCTCGGTCAGAAAACCGGGGAGTTCGACGTCGAAGCCTACCCGCTCTCACCACGTCGGCAAGCGGGAGGACAAGTCCGGCGGGAAGCTGGGCCGTTGCTCTCTGTGTCAGGGGGACCACTTCGTCATGCTGTGCGAGGACTACCGGAAGAAGACGGCTGTGGAGCGGAAGCAGCACGTCACTAGCAGCGGTCTGTGTATTAATTGCCTCGGCCGTCACAAGGTGGGTGACTGTATCTCGAAGAAGGACTGTTCCGCGTGCGGTCAACGTCACCACTCGTCGCTTCACGACGCGTGCCGCGAGAGCGAGGTCGCTAAAACCTCGCACGTGGCGCGGGGAGTGTCGGACAAGCAGGCTGCAGTCCTCCTCGCGACCGCCCGCATCCGCGTCGAGGGCCCACAAGGTAGGTGGTGCTTCGCGCGCGCTCTCGTCGATCAAGGCTCGGAAACGTCTCTGATTTCCGAACGCCTCACTCAGAGACTTCACTTGCCGCGTTCTCTTGCCTCGGTGGCCGTGTACGGGGTCGGCGGACAAAAGACTTGCGTAGCTAGGGGCCGCGTCGCGCTGTCGTTCAGCTCGCACTCCGGGGGGGTCGTAGTGAACGCGTCCGCGCTCGTGCTTCCTCGGCTTACCGTCTACGCCGGTCGACTTGATGTGACCGATCGGGAGTGGCCTCACCTGCGAGGCCTGGAGCTAGCGGATCCGGAGTTCGGGGGCGCCGAACGAATCGACGTCCTCCTTGGGGCCGACGTCTTCGCCTCCATCATCTTGGAGGGAGTTCGCCGAGGGGGCTCTCGCGATCCGGTGGCCCAGAACACTACCCTCGGGTGGATTCTGTCTGGGGCGGTCGGCGATACCGCGACCGCGCATCTCGCACGCTCGTATCAATGCCGAGTCGAGGAGGACCCCCTCGACGTGGTGCGGCGGTTCTGGGAGCAGGAGGACGTGCCGACCTCTCCCGCACCTTCCCCGGAGGATTTGGAGTGCGAGGAGCATTTCGCGAGAACTCACAGCCGCCAATCCGACGGACGTTATGTCGTGCGGCTCCCGCTCGTTACGCCTCTGCCTGACTTGTCGGAGACGCGCCGCGTCGCCGTCCGGGTGCAGCGGAGCATGGAGGCGAAGCTGAGCCGCGACCGATCCTTCCGCGATTTGTACGTGGACTTTATGCGCCAATACGCGGACTTAGGGCATATGACGCGTGTCCTGACGGCTACCGGTCCCGCGCCAGTCTGCTACTTGCCGCATCACGGGGTCCTGCGGGAGGCGAGTTCCACTACTAAACTACGGGTAGTGTTCAACGGCTCCGCTACTCTCCCGACGGGAGAGTCTCTAAATCGCTACCTGCGCGTGGGGCCTAACCTACTGCCGGCCCTGGCGGACGTCCTGACGCGGTGGCGTCGGTACCGCTTCGTGTTAATGGCCGACATAGAAAAAATGTTCCGCCAGATTGTCGTCCACCCGCAGGACCGTGACTGGCAGAGGATCCTGTGGCGCGATAGAGCTGACGTGGAGCTTGAGGAGTTCCAGCTGAACACCGTGACCTACGGTCTGGCGTGCGCCCCCTTCTTGGCGATGCGCACCCTCCGCCAACTGGCGGACGACGAGGAGCTCGAGTCGCCGCTGGGAGCTGCCGTGTTGAGACGGGATGTCTACATGGACGACATCCTGACCGGTGCCTCGTCCATCAAAGCTGCCAAGGCCGTGCGGGAGCAGCTCGTGGGGATCTGCCGGGCGGGGGGCTTTCCCCTCAGGAAGTGGTCTGCCAACGACGCTTCTCTCCTGGAGGGCCTGCCGACGGAGGATAGACTGCAGCGGGAGCCGCGATGGTGGTTGCCGGGAGAGAGTTACTCTACGCTGGGTTTGCAGTGGCACCCACTCAGCGATGATTTCTCGTTCGCCACGCGGCTGCCAAGGATCGAGACCTTTACCAGGCGAACGGTCCTGGCCCTGACGGCTCGGTTGTTCGATCCTTTGGGTTGGCTCTCTCCCGCCACGGTTAGAGCGAAAATCTGGATCCAGGCGACGTGGCTTCTGGGGATCGACTGGGACACTCCACTGCCCGACGATGACGCCAGGAAATGGGGGGAGTTTCAGGACGAGATCCCCCGTCTGGAGGAGATCCGTATTCCTCGAGAACTATCGAGGACCGGCGACGACTCAGAGATCCACGGGTTCGCTGACGCGTCGGAGAAGGCGTTCGCCGCGGTGGTGTACTTCCGGACGCGGGATCCCGCGGGACTGATCCAGACAAGAATAGTGGCAGCTAAAACTAAAGTTGCTCCATTGCAACAGGTCTCGTTGCCTCGCTTGGAGCTGAGTTCCGCTGCCCTCCTCGTGCGCCTCGTGGCCCACGTCCGTCGTGTCCTGGAAGCAGAGGAAGCGCCCGTCCACTTGTGGTTGGATTCCACTGTGGCACTGGGATGGATCCGCGGGCATCCAAGTTCCTGGAAGACGTACGTCGCCAACCGGGTCAGCGAGATCCAGACCACTCTTCCAGGAGCACTGTGGCATCACGTTCCGGGGCGGGATAATCCGGCGGACTGCGCTTCGCGAGGCCTTTCTCCCTGCGAGCTGGTGGACCTGGAGCATTGGTGGCGGGGGCCCGCATGGCTCCGGTCGGACTCGAGACCTTGGCCGAGCCCCTGGAGCGGCGGCACCGAGGGCGAGCTCCCTGAGCGGAGAGTCCGCTCCCATGCTGCTGCGGTTCCCGTGGAGGAGGACGGCGAGTTGGAGTTGCTCTCGAGGTGTTCCACCTTGAGCCGCCTGCTGCGGATCACCGCCTGGTGTCGACGCTCGCTGGTTCGCGCTCGAACGCGGACTGGAGCCCCGACTCCGCTCGATTCTCCTTTTTCAGGCTCGCTCCGGTCCGAGGAGCTGGATGAGGCGCGTCTGTGCTGGGTCCGTCTGGTGCAGGCCAAGCACTTCCGAGACGAGATGGCTTCCATTGAGAAGGGGAAGCCGCTGCCGGCGCGCAGCGCCCTCCTCAAATTAAGCCCTATATTGGACCACCTGGGAGTCCTCCGAGTCGGCGGTCGACTCAAGCACTCCTTGTTGTCGCATGACGAGAAGCATCCGGTAATCCTTCCAGGAGAATCACCTTTAGCCCGGCTGGTAATTGGGGCCTGCCACCGACGAACGCTGCACGGCGGAGTGCAGCTCACTCTTGCCACCCTGCGCCAGGAGTTCTGGGTGCCCCGCGGTCGAGCCCTAGTCAAAAGCTTTATCCACCGGTGCTTGACTTGTCTGCGATGGCGGGCGGCATCACCTCAGCCGATCATGGGGAATCTACCTTCACCTAGAGTGACGCCCACTCGACCCTTTTTGAACACGGGGGTGGACTACGCCGGACCCGTATGGCTGCGTACCTCGAAGGGCCGAGGTCATCGGGCGAGCAAAGCTTTCATCGCTGTCTTCGTCTGCCTCAGTACCAGAGCGGTGCACCTGGACGTGGTGTCGGACTACACTGCGGAGGCCTTCCTCGCAGCTCTGCGTCGCTTCGTCGCTCGCCGTGGCCTTTGTCAGGCCCTCTACAGCGACTGCGGCACCAACTTCGTCGGTGCCGACGCTCAACTCAAGGCCTTATTCGCCGCCTGCAGTCGGGAGGGACAGTGCGTCGCCGCTCGACTAGCCGAGCAGCGAATCCGATGGCACTTCGGACCTCCAGCAGCTCCCAACTTCGGTGGTCTCTGGGAGGCCGCCGTGAAGGCGATGAAGGGCCACCTTCGTCGCGTGATCGGCGAGGCTACGCTCACTTATGAGGAGATGGCCACGCTTCTCTCCCAAGTAGAGGCGTGCCTCAACTCTCGCCCGCTCCAGGCCATCTCGGACGATCCTGAGGACGTTTCTGCGCTCACCCCCGGACACTTCCTGATGGGATCTGCGCTCAACGCTGTTCCGGAGCCGTCTCTCGCTGAGGTGCCGATGGGCCGCTTATCCCGCTGGCAGATGCTGCAGAGGATGAGAGACCATTTTTGGGCGCGCTGGTCCTCGGAGTACCTACACTCCTTGACGCACCGTCCCAAATGGCTCAAAGCCAGCGGAGACATCCGAGTCGGACGCTTGTGCCTGCTGCGGAGTGAGACGACGCCGCCTAATAGGTGGCCGCTTGCTGGAGTCGAGAGGCTGTTCCCGGGAGACGACGGGCACCTCCGTGTTGTAGGGCTGCGCACGGCGACGTCGAGTCTGAAGCGGCCAGTCAGCAAGCTGGTCCTCCTCCCCGACAGCAGCGGCTAAGTATTCTTCCGTCAGAGCCTTGCGATTTCCCTTTGTAAATAAAGTTACCGGCCTTTCCCTTCTTAGCATGTATAATAATTCTCGCCATTATCTACCATAATTAGCTGTGCTTCTATCTAATTTGCGTTATGATTACTACGAGTCGTTGCTGTAAGCGACTTTAGTGGAGCGATCCCTTCGAGCTGGCCTTCCGTTGCGTTTATTTCGTTGGTTTCACCATACTAAGCGGGCGGAATGTTCGAGATCGAACGTTCGGCTCAATCTCTCCTTCTGGAATCTTCGCGCGAGAGGAAGATTCTAGAAAATAGTTTATAAGTATAAGGAGATCCCCTTGAGTGAATGTTGTCGAGCGAGAACGATCGCCTCTCTTAGCGAGTCAATATTCCCTTTGTCTCCGAGTTTTCTAAACACATGAAATAGGAGAACGAAAATAAACCGTCGACTTTCGACGCGACCGGGCCGTCAGCTGAGCCGCGTGTTTCGACGGAAAGCGGTAGATTCCAAAACAGCTGATTGCCCGGTCGAGCGGTCGCCGACCTGAAAACTGTCTCGCTCATTGGCCAACCCCCCCGCGGTTGGGCTTAAGATTTCCGTAATTTCGGGGAATCGCGGAGTGTATATAAGCCCCCGAATTTGCGCGGGCGGCGCACTCGATCAGAAGTTTTCCGGAGACAGTGTGTAATCTCGAAAGCCTGAAAGTTGATTGCTCGTCATCTTTGCCAGGCGCGAACGATTCGACGCTAGTTCGGTCGCGATTGTGTGCCGAGGCATTTAAACCTCTTCCGACGAAACGCGCGACGCGAAACACGTTGTGAAGAAGTGCACGTGACGCGGTTTTTCTGTAGCCGCTCGCGAGCGCGCCGGTTTCTTGCTGCTCTAGCATTCCGCCGCGTAATCTCTGTATATATGTACATTCATTTTATTAAACGGACTTAAACCAAAAGTCCGCATCTCTCTGTATTGCTCTAACACATAGCAATATGCAAAAAAATAAAATTTAAATCTAAATTGATAAAAAAATAAAAAAATAAAAAATTTTTAATGTTTTAATTCAACGAGGAATGAACCTGGACAACCCAGAACTTTCACCAAACTTAAATGTAGATCATATTTATAAAAAAATCAATTATTACTAATTAACAATCTATAATATACATATAAGTATATTAGCGCGGACGCAAATTCATAAGTATATAGATTATAGAACTACATACAAATCCTTATATATTAATTTTAAAGCCACATAAATGAACGCATGGGTCCGCATGACCACCGCTGATACATGCTAAATATAACATAAAATTGATAGTCATAGCGATCCGATTTTGGTGTCTCGATTCTTCCCATGGTACAAAATGTGCCAGCAATGTTATCGTATCATGCATCGACCTCACGATTAGACAATGTGTCGTGGGATGAAAAAATTTGCTGCATTCGATGTAACAGAACTACTGCACGCCAAAAGAGCAGTATGCTGCAGAGAATGCATCGAGACGTATTTGGATTCCCCGTATTTTCTGAAAAGAAAAAAATATATGCATATATATACATATTTTTGTACATAAATATATTTTTTTACATATTATAAAATTATACCTTCATAGTTGATAATATTTTTTAAATTCTTCTTGTAATCTCCGATTCATAGTTCATCCTTACGCGGTCTCGCGCTCTGAGATCATCCTCCTTGTCCAAATACGTCTCGATGCATTGTTTACAGCATACTGCTCTTTTGGCATGCAGTAGTTCAGTGTTACACCGAATGCAGCAAATTTTTTCCTCCCATGACACATTGTATAATCGCGAGGTCAATGAATGATACCGTGTTTTTTCGACATAGGAGTTTATCCCCCTAATCGGTCGGGCATTATAACATTGACGACACATTTTGTGCCATGGGAAGAATCGCGACACCATAATCGGGTCGCTTGATATTTGTGTCAGGCAGGTGCTCCGCAACAGCAACCAATACACGTCGACGTGATCCTGAGGTCTCACGCCATCGACGGGGCCCTCAGTTGCCAGATCGACTGATGGAGTCGGAGGTCTCATTTTTCTATAAATAATTTTATTTATTTAATTTTATTTATTTAATATATGTTTTTTATTATTACAAAAAAATGAATTTTTGTTTACCTCAAGTTTTTTTGGCCGCCTTCTCCAACACTTTTAGAGATACTGACACTTTTTTTACGGTTGAAATCGTGATACTGCCAACAGAATATCTTTATAACTTTTTTCTCAGTGTACTGAGTTATTAGCTCGGGAAATTTTCCCACTTGGTATTTCAATTCTCTTTTCAACGTGCCCGTGAGCAGCGGATGCAGAGGACACGTGCACAACTGTCGACTTTTTCGACTCTACCCCTGTGAGTTTTTACAGACACTGACACTTTTTTTTACGGTTGAAATCGTGATAACGTGACGGTTGCTCGAGTACTATGAAGACTGAGTTCGTACAGACTGTTACAGCCGCCTTTTTATTAGCGCGGACACACAGCTGTGCATATTATTTTCCACGAGATGAGCCAGAGGATATGGGTATGATGAAGTCATACGTGTATTCGCGGAACAGAGATTTTATTTCACATAGTCATACATCTGATTATAATGAAAAACTAAAAGCTAGCTTGGTACCAATCAACCCATTCTCTCTTATGGGGATACACAGTACCGCGCAGACAGCGCTCACGCAGCTCACGCAGCTCTCGCAAGGCTGCCAATAGCTCACAATTTTGAATGTATAACTACGAACATTCCACCTCCTGCGAAAGAACTCTATCATTGACTGAATATAATGCCATGCATGTAGTATGGAATAGAAATGACAAATATTAGCGTAATAAAATTTGAACTAAGATAAAGATTATAAAACATGGATGATGACGCGAGATGAGACAGAGGATCGCGCGCTGATACATGGTTTCAGACAGAGACATTATTCGCTAGATGCTGACTTGTCACAACGTGACATGTAATAGATATCACAGGAGACGTTTCGACACTTTTTATTAACGTGGACACCTGGATGCGCGTATTAATTTCCACGCTATGTATCGCGGGATCGAGCGCCGATACACGGCTGCTAACAAAGATGGTACGAGATGTGACAAATGATATAGATGCGGCATATATAATTGGCTTGAAAGCTTGCAAAACCACAGTAGGAGATCTACCGGGCAAGCACGCTTGAGAGACCGCAGTTTGAAGTCGAATCAGAAGAGTGACTTGTGAATATTATAGACTACGCCTAAAGTTCCCGCCGATATCCAACTCGAAGATATCGAAGGCGCGATATAAATCAATAATGAACAATCGCCAAGAAATTATGGAAAATGACGAATATTCATCCGAGGATAGCGATAATAATTTTGAAGAAGAAATGGAAGTAGACAATAATTTCGAGAGACTATTAGATGAAAGCGATGAAAGCGATGAAGAAGAAGAACATCAACCATTATCCGATGATAGTGACTACACCAGTGACTCGGAGAAATATAAAAAGACAATCAGGAAAATACTGTCTCCTCCCGAAATTCAAGCGTTGAGCGTATCAATGAAAAAGTGTGCAATATACAGTTATTATTCCAATGGTGATGCATATAAAATATGTAATTGGTGCATGGGCGTAATAAGAGACACCAATCTGATATATAGCAATCGTAAGCACATTACAGCCTATTACGATGACATAAATACAATGATGTTCGGTAACTGTGTGAAATGTGACGCGCAACTATACATTGTATTCCTATGCAATATGTGTCCAATTTGCACACACTAGAAAAAAACAGTGTATGAGTGAAAAGACGTTAGCGCGACATGGAGCAACGAGAGCAAGATCTGGTGGAGCAATCCAGCCGAGTCACCACCTTGGGTGAATATTTCGCGTGGGTGCAGCGATGCGACGAGTGCGTGCAACAACTCGAAGAGCACGGTCGAGTCAAACGTCCTCGGCTCTCGATCGGACACAAACAATCTGCGGCGGCGAGCATCGCGCGACTCGTAGGCGCAAAGACTTTATTGGAGAGACGCTTTATACACACCGGTGGTAATTATGCGGGTGGCGGTGCGGAGAGACTCGCTTGGCGAGAAATCGATACCGCGTTTAAAAATCGTATTTTAACCGGTGTGGTGATTAACACGGACTATATCGAGCCGCGACAATTTTTGGAAGACGCTTGCGATATAATGCTCGAGCGAGTGCATGACGTTTTACAAATACGCAACAGCGTAAAAGTGAACACTGTCTTCAACGGTGAATTTGCAGCATGTGAAAAACGCGCGAACAAAAGTATCAACACGCGAAACTGTAGACTCTTTCGTACAACAGATTTGCGCGAGTGGTACGAGCAGCGCGTCATCGAGCCTACCTTAGCGTCCCTTGAAGAGTTTCAGGAACGCGATAGTGGATGGGCGTTATCGCGTATACTCAATTTGACAATTAACGTAAACATGTACAATCCACTGCACGCGGGGTGTTATGTTGAATTACCGCGAGAAATAAAACTGAAGAAAGCGGTAGTTAACGTGCAATCTATGAACAATGCGTGTTTCGCGCGGTCAGTGGTGGCTGCTCTGCATCCAGCTGAAAGACACGCAGACCGAGAATCGTCGTATCCCGATTATATAACGGAACTAAACGCGCAAGACATTGAGTTTCCCGTGACGCTTA